GCACTAAGGAGGCTATTTTGCCGGAGCCGGTAAAATAGCACCTAAGAAGCTATTTTGCCGAAGTTGGCAAAATAGCCATTGCCTTTTCACAAATAATCTTACGATTTAAATTGATCTTAAATTATGATGTAACGTTCCTGACTTACGAATATCATTTCTCGTAAGATTTTTTTGTGAAAAGAGTCGCAGCTACCTGAACTCTTGCTTGAATGGTCATATGCAATATAGTGATTCGTGTAGGCAAGTGTAGATATATATAACATGACTTGACTCGGAAACGATTTGTAGCCATGATGATCACACTTAACTTAACATGAGTAAGCCATGAAGTCAGACATATAGGCTAAAGTACTCGACAAGGTTGAGAAGACATAGGAACACATACCGAGTACTCGCAACGCATGGAAAACACATGCCGGCTTCTCGAAACTTCCCTATGACCATGCAGCAATAGGAAGGTAATCCTATCGAGCCCCATAGACACATATCCAACTTCTGAAGCGAGTTAAACAACAAGACAGGAGAAAGAGAACATGTTCCTCTGACAAAAAAATATCCTAGGAGCCGAAGATAAATTGTCCTCCCCGTCATACCATCCATTTCCAGCACCCGTAGCACTTACAACAGGAGTCATGTCTTTCTTCTAAAAGACAGATAGAAAACTTTACAAACTCCAAAGTTGCTTTCAAATATTTGGCTTTGAGTCTTCCTGATGAAAAAAAATCTAGAAAAGCGCTTCGGATGCTTGAAATTTATAACATGTTGTTTTCATTCTTACAGCACTGCATGGGTCAATACCGCTGCTGTGGGCTATCAGTCCCCGAGGGTATCATCAGCCCAGTAGTCAGTACTTCTGTACTGACATTATTTACAACAAACTTTTTTTCTAAAATTGTCCGTAATACATTTAGAAATATAAAGAAACTTAGGTTTCAACTCCCTTACGGGCAAAGTTGACTTTAGATTGACTTTGGCTGTTATTTGTGGGTTCTTTTTGGTCATAGGGCTCTTTAACTGTTTCGGTTCTTATACATCTTGGTCTTTAATATTCGGATCTGAGCGTTCCTGATGAAGATAAATCCAGAAAGCGCTTCGGATGCATGAAATGTATAAAGCGTTGTCATCATTTTTTAAAGTGTGTATGCAAACAACCTTTATTTTACCTGTTTTACCGATTAACAATGATAAATTATAATTTATAATATACAACTCGGTTCAACTATTGTATAAAGATAATGTTAAAGACTAGTTAAGAATGTTGAGGATGTTTTTTACTTAAGACGAAGTGCTCCTTGTTGCAATGCAATGTTATCAAGGTATATTTTATAAGGCACCACCTTTGGTTAATTGATGCTGTATAGGGGGAGTTCCTTTTGTATTGTCCGCTTTTTAGGTTCATCGTGATCTGCGAGTGAAATTTTATGTTAAAGTATGTAATGTAACTACATGTATAGTTATTGTATTAAAAAAAACTACTAGTTTAACTACCGGGTTAATTGTGCTAGTATACCGGAACATTGTCCACATTTATACCAAAACGCTCCACATATATTCCGTATACCAGGATAGCGGAAACCAGTTATTTGTAAGACTGCACGGTATCACAATGATGTTATGCTTGCATATCTACTTTTTTATCGGCTCTCTGTCTGACTTTTGACTCCGCCCAAAAAGGAAAGCAGTACTCGCTGAGTTAATTTTAATTCCATGGATACAGAAACTGTCGTAATCAGAACATTACATTTACGCGCATTACTATGAACTATGCTTAAAAATCATTACATTTGCGCCTATTACCATGAACTGCGCGTCAAAATCATCACATTTGCGCGCTTTTACTTTACCGTTAAACGCATGAAGTTCATTTTTTTCTCTTTCGTACTTCTGCTCAAAACTACTGCTTCAAGCCCTATAATTTTGATAGATGTGGTTATTTGAAATTTCAAGATTTTGTCAAGAAACACCAAAATGCATGAAAGTACTGAATATAATTCTAAGGAAACAGAATACTGGTTATTGTTTGATATTCACAGTTATAGTACATGTATGCGCTTTCTATTTATGTCCCTTATATATGTATATAGAATCGCTTAATATGATTGATGATATTGAAAGTTTAAAAAAATAGGCATAGTTATTTTGAATGAAATATATATTTACCTCAGTGTTTAACCTTAAAAATAATTACGTTCAAATATAATGTGAAACATTGCGCGCAATCGTAAGAAAACTAATCCCCAAATGCGCGAAAAATAAATGTAATGAGCCCGCCGTGATAGTGTGCATTCGAGAAAGGGCTTTTACATTGGGCATTTACATCTAGTGTTTAAAAGTTATGTTGTACACGAAGCAGACATGTTTAAGAGTGATCTACCTACTGACTTCTGTTGTCAACTCTTTTTACCTTGGCGTAAATTTGCACTAACGATAAAACAATCTTAATTATTTATCAAATGAAGTCGAATCACGTAATTTTTTGTTAATGAAATACTTTCTGAAACTTCGTATAGCTGAAATATTTTAATTCATCTGTATCTTCAGAAAGAAAAGAAAGAAAAATAAACAGAAAGTAGATCCCCTCCCCCCCCCAAAAAAAAAACATCAAAAATACACAGACTAACAAACAAAACAGGCAAAACAACAATATAATTTAGTAAAAAAAAAGTAATAAAGAATCGTCTTGAACATGCATGAAATATTTGGACTGGACGTTAAGCAACCAACAATGAATCACGTGAAGTCATACTTATCGAGTACTGGTCGGAATAGTATGATATAAAAATCCTTGATCGAAATATATTATTACTTGGCCGGAGTAAAAAAGACTTTATAGTTACTTATATATAACACAATTTGTCAAATATCTTTGGGACTAATGTATTCATTTTGGTGCATTCTTCTGTCAAATAAAATGGAACAATCACTACGACAATATTGTCATACAATTGCAAGCACATATTTTGGCTTCCTGAAGAGAAACCTAAATATATCAAACAACAACATCAAATTACGTGCATATCAACCCATAGAGACTCAGAGACCAAAATTTGATTCAGCTGTACATCATCACATACCACATGTACAATAGAATACATAACCACACTATAAACGGTACAGATACACATCCATGCATGATCATAATCAAACTTGAATGGCCATCACTTTCAGAGCGATGCCTCAAAACCAGTCCAGCGGCTGATTATGTTCTATATTAGGTCATCCATGGACGGTCTCATGCTAATTCTAACAGATACTAGAACAAGAAAATTACATTAGGTACCAAACATTTCGGCAAATCTCCACCTACGAAAAGAAAGTTATAAATGGTATTGTTTTCCACAACAATCATCGAGTACAATAACATGCCGCTACCAAAAGTTGTTAAGGAATGTTCATGCATGCGCAGTACTATTAAATCCTTTCGGAAACAGTTGACACCAACTGTTTTCAAAGTACAACGCAAACTAACCAAGTTAATAAATATCAAAGTTTGTACATATCACTTATTGTCTTGATCCGCATGTGAATAGCACTAAAACAAGTAAAGCTGCAAAACTAGCTTATGTTTTGTTCGTGTGCACTTTATTATTTGAATATTGATAATCATATACTCCTCACATGCATCAGATGGTAACATTAAATCATTATGATATGAAGTTGAAACTTTATAAATTTAGGAAAGAACGGAAAACAACTGTCATATTCCTGACTTGGTACTTGGTACTGGAATTTTCCGAAGTCTTGACAATGGTGGGTAGTAAACCGGATTTTATAGATCTTTATAGCTATAGCTGAATATCAAGATTAATATATATATATATATTAACCATGTAACCGTATGTCCCACTCTGCCAAGTTAGTAAATACTTTTTCTGAAACCGTTTAGTGACTTAAGGTGGATCGTCGGTATATATTTCCTCAGATAGAATTTTCTTATACTTTGCCAAAATGAAGATTTTACTATGCTTTTTTCAGAAATATAATAAAAAGTGTGGGTCACTGTGCTATTTTTCAAACTACAAGTCTTGCAAAATTGCCCAAATTTGCTCTATGTTTCATGAAAAAACACATTTTTGTGAATAAAAAGAAATCTATGAGATAGAATTTTGAAATAAAATATGAGAAGATAGGTCTTATAATATGTTTTGAGAAAATAAAAATAAAAAATGGTGTCACCGAACTCGTTTTCTCTCTATAAGTTAAAAATGAAAATTTCACTATCATTCCAGTATAAAAAAATTACTATAAGAGTTATCTCCCCTTAAAAGGTCACGTTTAAAAAAATTGATTCTAAAAACTCAAATATTTGTATTTGTTTAAACATTTTGGATAATGCAATAAAACACTTATTTTTCTTTATACAAATAAGCAGTCTTACATATAAACTACAAAGATGTCTCAAAATTTGCAGATTTAGTCAAAGAACTAGACCGATTGTGTACTGCTATTGTACAATCCAAGATGGCGGTATCATGACAGTGAATCTACCTGAAATCATGGACTTACAGCTTACTATGATTGGCCACAGGCTCATAACTTTCCAACAAAATACTCTTGGCTAGTTGTAGAAACAAATATAGTTATACAACTCAAAGGCATTTAACACAAGAACAACCGAACAATTCAAGAACTAATTCTGTGGTTAATTGGAACCAGCTGGAAGAAGATATAGTATGCGCCAAGTCAGTTAACAGCTTCAAAATAGCTCTCCAACACCGTCAATAGGTGCTTTCTCTCCCGACGAGTGAAAGCCAGAATTGCATGGTACCTTCGACGTAACGATACGGGGGATACAGATCATAAAAGAATGAAAATTAAAAGCAGGGGCGTTTTCACTGTGAAGATGTAAAGTAGCATGTGATTATGTTGCTCTATGTTTCATTAATAAAATAAACAATACATTATGTCCCAGCACCAACCAATCTAGTTATATATATCTGTTTATTTAAAAGACCCCTCTACTTCAGACCGCTTGCACCAATGAACTTTAGTCAAGGGAAGAAACTGTTTGAACTAACGTGGAACGCATGCGTAGTAGGGTCTCTTATTATTTCACCGGAACACAGGCAACACGTGAGTTCGGATGTTTCAGCCAAAGAATATAATTCACCCCCATAAAAAGTCTTAATAACAAGCACACATAAATATTCAACATACTTTTAAATCAAATATCGTGAAATCATATTGAAAAGTGTAAATTGTACGGCCGAAGTCATTAAATGTGACATGCGGCTGTCGGTCCGAGTTTGTCATCCATCTTTGTTTTGTGGAAACATCGAAACAACACATTAGAAGTAACCAGTTGTGCAATACCTATATTTTGAACTATCTTTTTACTTGTTCTGACATTTGAATGAGTTAATTTTCTTATTAATTGACTTAAAGGAACATACTTGTTGCCCCGAAGTTCATAATTTTAGAAGTACTCGCAACATTCCCCCCTTTTCACTCCTTTATTGGCTTTAACCCTACCTAAGGAAATGCCTAAATCCCGGTCTAACATGTTATAGGATAGATTATTAACTTCTTTGTTCCAAGTTTAGTCTTTTGTAACAGCGTTGCTTAAAGATGCATTTCCTTTACTTGTACACTTGGCATGGGACCAAAAATTATGTTTTCTCTAAGGTTGACATATCCTACTGAACCTTGTTGTAGGAAAACACTATAAACATATAAGGAATTTGGCTTATCTTAAATGAAAGAAGAACATTTTTGGGGAAAGCGTTTATGTCAACAAACCAGTTTCATTTGACATTTGACTTTGAAATATCAGTCTTTTACAATCTTCTATTTCATCGACTTGGTACAAATGGAAAATTGCTGATGATGAAAGGGACTGTTTTGAACACCTAGTCAACCAGATATTGTTTTTGACAACCAGGAAAGTGACTTCTTTTTTCCGAATTATAGTTATCTCGTACCATTGCAAACTCGTACCAATGTCAATTCGTACCACTAAAAACAAACTCGTACTACTGCAAACTCGTACCAATGGTAACTCGTACCACAGTAAATTCGTATCATTGCATTCTCGTACCAACTTATTTAAATGCATTCAAATGGTGTTTAATGATGAATAAATATTTTTTAAATTTCACTCAATACCTCATAAGTCTGTAAAAAGTATATAATTTGAAATCACATTGAAGTAAAAAATCTCAAAATGGAAGATATTATTGAGGAAAATTTGCGAAAAAAAAATTCTTAGAAAAAAAAACACCCCCCACCACCCCCAATAAAAAATGAATTGTTGGTTCCCTTAAAGCTTTCTGATAAATGGTCTAGGTGTACTAATGGGTTATCGAGCGACGGACGTACAGACAGTCAGATGGAGAAAATTAACATATCCCCTTCAGTGTGATGTGATGATGTATCAAACACTCCCATGTTAATGTACGCCCAGAAATCCTACATAACATGCATAAGTGACATTGATATGGTAAAGTGAATGTATTTTTGTAATAAAAAACGTGCAACTCTGAGCATGCCGAAATTAATTTCTGTTCTATTCATAAACATCACCGACAGTTAATATACACATGAACAATATTTGTTGATGCCAAAATACAGGCAAAAATAAATTCTTGTCAGCCCCTTTCTTCGGCTGTATTTTGTCAAATGTCAGTTATTTTCAATTTGTATCATACTTTTCTTTGTTGGAGCTGCTTGACGCCATTTTGAAACTCTAATAAACCTGCCCCAACCCAGGGTTGATGTTGGGATTTGCTATATACACGGGTCATAATCACACCTGAACTTTGTCATTGCATAGGGATTGACACTACTTAATTGAACCATTGTCACATGTAGTTTCTGGTTGTAGTAAGAAAACCAGGATGGGTTCAAACAGAAAGATTTTGAAAGCAGAGAAAACTGCTCACCTTATAATCAGCAAACTTTTATCAGATGAAAATCCAGACTAAAAATAAAGCGTAGGTTCTTTAATTCAGTCACGGAACCGCGGGTGTGTTCTAGTATATTTTTAATGGTATGAGTTTTCGCAATGGTGCGACTTCGCAGTGGTACAAGTTTACATTGGTACGAGTTGACTTTTAGTGGTATAGGTTAACTTGCTTCCCTTTATTCCAGTGGCCCTCAGCGACCTGCCAGTAAACAGTTGGTCGCCATGATTGATTTGATAAATATAAAACCCCAATGATGCCAGAACAGACCCAATTTTTTTCCTGAAGTTGAAAAATTTCCAGTTTAACAAAAAAAAATATTGGGGTTGGTAAAACAGCCGCAAATAAAAATAGGGTTGATTGGGTAACTGGAAACAATTGTGTATTTTGATTTGGCCTTGGATCAACACTTGAACACAATCATTTAAGGTATCTTGTTTCCCCCTGCCAATTAACAAGGCTGATGATGCTAAGAATACATCATGGGGTAAAATGCAAGTTTTGTCTATTATCATGTAAACCCTTGTAAAAAGAGAAAATCTGACTGAAGGCAGAAATGATCAGAATATTTAGGTCTACCTACTGTATTCTTCAACTAAAGCTGTCGGACCACTCCAGTGGTCTCCCTAGGGCCTTTTATTATCATGGTAATGTGATGCTACATGTATCTAAAATGATTTTCTTATAGATAGTGTTATGGATGTGATGCTATGCATGTAATTTCTAGAAACAAGATGGTATTTCATAATTTCCTGTTTACCAAGATGATACAAGAAATTTCTTAGAACACTGCACTCTTTATTGGAGTTAATATCCTGAAATGAGCCAATTATTTGCAAATTTCACTTATATGTTTAAAACTATTAAAGATAATCGTAATGCAATGTATAGAGAAAGTATAATTATCAATAATGATCAGCAAAAAAGTCCAAGGAGGCAGAAATATCTGGCCTTTGTTTAGTAGTTTGTTAGTCTTGTATGGTTTTTTATGCCCCCACCATAGCAGTGTTACCCTTGTCCCTCTGTCCGTACGTACGTCCCATAATTGGTTTCCGTTCTCTAACTTGAGTTTGCCTCAACCAAATGTTATGAAACTTATACACAATGCTTATTACCACAAAAAAAAAATAAAGTTTGAATTTTGGTGGCGTCACTTTAACCGTTGTAGAGTTATGCCCCTTTATAAATGAAAAAATTGCAAAATTTTTAGTTTCCGTTCTCTGACTTAAGTTTGCCTCAACCAAATGTTATGAAACTTATACACAATGCTTATTACCACAAAACACAGATCAAGTTTGAATTTTGGTGGCGTCACTTAAACCATTATACAGTTATGCCCCTTTATAAATGGAAAAATTGCAAAATTTTTATTTTCTTCTAAATATCAAGTAATTTTTATACGACCGCAAACATTTTTTTTGGGATCGTATAATGGTATGATGTCTGCGTCGTCGTCCGAAGACGCATTGGTTTCCGGACAATAACTATAGTTTAAACGAATGGATCTCTATGAAATTTTTGAAGAAGATTCGATACCACAAAAGGAAGGTTGGGATTGATTTTGGGGATGTTGGTCCCAACCGTTTAGGAATTAGGGGCCCAAAACAAGCATTTTTCTAGTTTCAGGATAATAACTTATGTATAATATTTCGATTGCTCTGAAATTGTACCACAATGTTTAATACCACAAGTAGAAGGTTGGGATTCATTTTAGGGGTTATGGGACCAACAGTTTAGGAATTGAGGGCCAAAAACAAGCATTTTTCTAGTTTCAAGACAATAACTTGTGTGTAAGTGTATGGATATCTCTGAAATCGTACTACAAGGTTCCATACTACAAAGGAAAAGATGGGGTTATTGCTCCAAGGGGGGTTTCAAAAAGTTGGGTGGGGGGGGGGGGGGATTTTTTTCCCAAATTTTTTTAAGGGATTCATATTTTTTTTTCAAATTTTTCAAATTTTGAAAAGTTTCAATAAGAAATCTTCAATTGCACAGTATTGCGCAATGGATTTATAAGAACTTTGACCACATTTATTTTGTATCAGAAACCTATATTATGTCAAAAATTTGATCACAATCCAAATTCAGACAGTATCAAGCTTGAATATTGTGTCCAAATTTGCCCCAACTGTTCAGGGTTCGACCTCTGCGGTCGTATCAGGCTGCGCTCAGCGAAGCATTTTATTAAATTTGGAGTTATCTTTGTCCATGATTAGAGTTGAATCAACTACAATCAATGCTTTATACAATACAATGTTTAATTTTGACTTCCACTGATAAAACACAAATCAAGTTGAATTTGGGTAGTGTCACTTTAACCATTATTGCTTTATGCCCCTTTATAAATAGAAAGATTGCAAAATTTTTAGTTTCCATTCTGTAACAAGTTTGCCCCAACCAAACATGAAACCTATACACAATATTCATTACCACAAAACCAAGATCAAGAACAAATTTTTTGTTTCCGTTTTCTAACTTTAGTTTGCCTCAACCAAATGTTATGAAACTTATACACAATGCTTATTACTACATAATACAGATTAAGTACGAAATTTGGTGGCGACACCTTTACCATTCTTGAGTTATGTCCCTTTATAAACATAAAAATTGCTGAATTTTTCGTTTCCGTTTTCTAACTTTATTTAATTTTAGTTCATTTATATGTTTTGGAGTTTAGTGTGAGGTCCATTTCTATTGAACTAGTACACATTTTTGTTTAGGGGCCAGCTGAAGCCCGCCTCCGGGTGCGGTATTTCTTGCTGTGTTGAAGACCCATTGGTTGCCTTTGGCTGTTTTCTCTCACTTTGGTCGGGTGGTTGTCTCTTTGACACATTCCCCATTTCCATTCTCAATCTTATCCTTATAAGGGTTATTGCCCTTGCATGACAGTTTTACCCATTTTTGTTGTTCTTTTTTTGCAGAATTTACATTAAATAGAGAGAAACTGTAAATAGCAAAAATGATCAGGTCAAAATCTTCAACAGTCTTTGTACTTGTAGCAGGTGTAATTGTCCTTGAAATATGATTTTTATCTAAGTGTAGATTTTGTTATATTGTAAATATTCTTACTACATTGCCAGATGAGCCTACAGGCACCTGTTAACATCTCTTGTTGATTACTATAAACAAGGCATGAGAAATTATTTAGAAATTTTTTTATTCATTCAACATGATAAATGAAGAGAATCTTGATAAATATTTAATTTTTCCAGCTTCACAATGGCAGATGCAGATGATGATTTTACTACAGGTGATGCTGGGTCTTCTGAAACCTACCCACAACAGTGTTCTGCTCTAAGGAAAAATGGACATGTTTGTATTAAAAACCGTCCATGCAAAATTGTGGAAATGTCAACTTCCAAGACAGGAAAACACGGTCACGCTAAGGTACATATCTCAATGGTTATGTGTGCACATGTATGTTGTTTGAAAATGATTTTTAAATAAATGGATGGTACATGTATATCAATAGCTTACATTCTGTTGTACTTACCTTTCAGGCCATAATCTTACCCTCGAAATGACTATTTTAGTCACCAAAGAATTTTGAAAATCGCAGGCCAACTGATTTCATAGCAAAGTCAAGTCTTTATCAAAATCGGTATAAGGGAGACAACTTGTGATTTACAAGTCGCACAGGTAAACGAAAATGGCGACTGACAAGGAAAATTTAGATTTTTGAAATGACCATTGACTAATACTGTCGACGATTAAATGAAATAAATAAAATGGCGACTTTGAACATCCTCGGATTTATCATTCAAAAATATTAAAATAACTTTCTGTAAATTGATAGCATACATGTACATTCACCAGCATAACATCTCTAGAATTACTACAACCTATATTGATTGATTGTTGGTTGCTTAACATCCAGTGGCAAGTATTACTACAACCTATACTATTCAGGATTATTAACCAAATATAATTACAATGCAAGTCATAAGTGGGTAAACCATTACAGATGGATGGCTGTTTTAATGTTCAGTGGCAAATTAAATACATTCAGTACTAGAACATGCAATTGTGTTATGAATATATAGACCCTGTTTTGTACTACATGTAGACTGACACACTGTGCTAGTTCAGAAGGTAACAATCCGCAGGGAGACACATTATTCTGACTCCCAGTTGCTGTGTACTTTAAGAAGCATCCAATACCAGTTTTCAAGTCTTTGATTATGTGCTATTATAAAAGGCATAAAATATTAAAAACAAATTAAGATTTGTATAAAACTAAAAGGAAGAAAATCAAAGGATACAAATGGAAAAATATCAATATTGTAACAATCAAGCACTTCTCTTCATATTATCACCACTTCTACCTGTCAATTCAAATAAGTAATGAAAACAATCAAGCTGGAACACTGATTTATGAAACATGAAATAAATACATGGGACAAAGGGAAGGCACTTTTAATCTCATCCATAGGTAGATGATGTTTTAGTTGCAGGGTGACACAAATTCTATAATTGCCTCTATAGATGGTTGCCCCATTTTGAAAGTGCATTGCCTGTGCATTATGTTTGTTTTAATGGAATAGCTCTAAATAGATAACATAAGAATTTTGTTCCATTTGCCTGCTTATTTCAATATTGATTCCAGAACAACCTATTGTCTGGGACGATAAACAACAAAAAACAGTTTTCTGTTTTGTGCTCTTCCTTTTAATAGTAGATTTGGAGTGGTTCTTTGTAAATAGTTTGTAATTAGAAGTTTCAGATCCTTTATAAGTCAGTATGGTTGGCCTGCTTTTGACCTAATAATCAATTCTGATTGATTTGAGGAATGCTGTGTAAATTTTTTTGTTTTTTGCTGCAAAGTTGAGGAGGAAATGGCGATGTATGACAACAGTCTGTCTAACACTGTTAGAATTCTTACACCTTCAATTTTCAGCTGATTTTTCTGTTACATTTGATTATATGTGTTGCTCTCTATCTATTGCTGTTCATTCTAAATTCTGCCCCGTTTGCAATTTGTATTATTGAATCAAACTGTTCAACTGGTGAGAAATTGTAACAACTGCTGTAGAAGAACCACAGTTACGTGTAAGTTATAAATGATAGTAGTGTGAAGTACATACGAGAGCATACTTACTATCCTTTTAGATTTGAATTCCACTTTCTATCACTGAAATTGTACAGATGTGCATGTATTTCTCTAAGAATATACCAATTGTAAAGTCTTCCTAGTTACAGTTAGGTGCCATGAATCATGAATACACAAGTTATATGCCACTAGATCAGCGATAAACTAACATTTACATTATTGCAGAGTAAATGCTATTAATGTCTTTATTGGTTTTCAGGTTCATATGGTTGGAATAGATATTTTCACTGGTAAAAAATATGAAGATATATGTCCATCAACACACAACATGAATGTTCCTAATGTTATCAGAAAAGATTTTACGGTAATGTATTTCAAAAGATAGTTGCAACTTCAAATTGTTCTGACCTCAACCCTTTTGCTATCTAGCTGAAAAGTAATATAAACCATGTACATGAAACAATTTCAACAAAATTTGATATATATATGTCAGGGGTAATACTAAATGCAATTTCTGTTTAATAACTGGTACATTTGAATAATAATGAAGGTAGAGTGATCTCCCATAGTCCAGATATTTTTAACCTAAACAAGAAACTCAAAGTCTTGTTTTCTCTTCTTTTTGGTTTTCTCATTACTACACTATTTCAGATTGTTTTATCTTTAATAGGTTTCTTAACTATTGGTATAACTTTCAGGGACAAAGTCTGCATTTTTCAAAATACTGCCTATTTTTCGAGATCTATGGGTCGATGTTAAAGACCTTCAACAGTGGATTTCTTTGTTCAGTCCTTGATCTAATATTTGACTTCCCAAAAAGTACATGTCTAATCCAATTTTCAAAATGATTTTAATCATTTGTTTCTGCACCTCACACTAAATTTTCAAGCAAGACATGTCAGTTTAGGAGAAATTTGGAGTAAAATATGTTAGGCCTTATGAAATAATATCTATGTGTTGGCTTACATGCTGAAAAAAATTAAGTAGGAAGGAATGCTATTTTTCAAAAGTTTTTGACTGGTTTTAACAGAGGAAACAGTCTAGCTTGATTAAATAGGACAACAAAAATCTTCAGGGTAGCTTTCTTTAAATTGGGGTATGTACAGTTAGAGGAAACTCAAGTATTTTTATTAGACCATATTTGAGGTGTGGCACTGCTATTTGCAGTTATTCGTGAATAGTGAATCCCTAATCTCTTATTGAACTGTATCTAACAGAGTGGGTCATACCACAACTGTGGATTCATTATTATTCGTTGGATATAAATTTTCATAGATTTCGTGGATATAGGTGAACAACAAATATCACTCTTCAAAGAGGTATAAATTTTTGTTTGCATACCATCAAAACCACCAAATAAAATATCCAGACCTGCCAACTATCCCAAAATTATGAAGGATATCCCCCATGAGAGGTGTTGACCTGAATTTTGAAATTCTTTATTATATAAACTGAAGACCTCAAAACAGTTAGAAGGGTATTTAAGCACATCAATACTCATTCAAACAATATAGTAGTAGATTATGGCAATATAACAGGAGCAATAGGTCCTCCTGCCCTTAAAATCCCCCATGGAGATTGGCAGGTATGAATATCCACGAAAATACAATTTTTCCTCAATCCACAATAATTTGTAGCAAAAAAAATATAAATTAATCATTAGGATCTGCCATTGAATATCCAAAGGATGCATTTGTGGAAAATTTAATTCCATACTGCTTTGGTCTGTAGTGCACATTTTTAAATTCAAAATATCTAAAGTAATTGAATTTGTTTTTCTTTTAGCTACTTGACATTAATGATGGTTTTCTATCTCTTATGGATGACAATGGTGAAACCCGTGAGGATATAAAAGTACCAGACACTGATTTAGGAAAAGAAATTAAAGACAGATTTGAAAAGGATGAGCAACTTCTAGTAAGTTATAAAATATAGAAATTTGAAATAGGTTTATAAATAAGGTTTTTGATTGACAATATATATTGACCAATCAAATGATCTTACCACATTGGTGAGTATCCAAGAGTCATTTCTCTTTTGCAAACCTGGCTTCCACTCACATATGGAAAGTGTGGGAGTACACTGTTTCCCACACTACTACTGTGATTGCAAATGGTTTTACTTGCCAGGACATGCATTGTACCTATGCAGATCCATGTTAACATCTTGTTCAACATTTTTCTCTCAGAACAGTGCAGCCTGTTGGAAAAAGGATCTTTTGTCATTGAATTATACCCAATGTATAAAGAACACAAGATATTAAATCCCAAAGGAAGATAGTAAACTCTCATGTACATTGATTTACTTCTTAAACATTGCAGAATTCTTTAAACTGCTCTTTTCTGACTTCATGCTTGATTTCTGAACTAAAACCTGATTGTCATGTGGGAACATTTCTGTATCCTTAAAAAAATAAATAGATGTGGTATGACTGCCAATGAGACAGCTACCCACCAGAGTCCAAATGAATGGATGTATGCAATATTAGGTCACTGTACGGCTATCAACAATGAGAAAACCATATTATTGTCAGCTATAAAAGTCCTGGTATGACAAAATGTGAAACAATTCAAACACGAATACCAAAGGCCTAATTTATGCTCAAAATAAAAATAAAAATAAACCAACATGAATCGCTGAATTTCTGAAGAGACAGGCACATAAAGAATGAGGCAGGGTTAAACATATTTGTGAGGGCTCGACCCTTTGATGGGTTTTACTGTATTTGTAAAATAGAACACAATCTAAACACTGTATTTATAGAACAGAACACAATCTGAACACTATTTGAAGAATAGAACACAATCTAAGCAAACATTTTCATTTAGTTGTTATTTATTTTTCAGATAACAGTTATTAAAGCTATGGGGGAAGAACTAGCTATTGCTATTAAAGCTCAGACAAAGTAGTGCACAGATAACCTAAAGACATATAAAGGCTTGATATTTTGATGTGACAACAAAAACTATTTAAACCTTATGACATATGTCCTGTTTTGTTACCCAGACTCCTGAAATATCAAGCCTTTAAAACAATTATAGTGCTATTAAAAATGCAAAAAAGAACTTTCACTTGAATTCTACTGCTTTGCTCTAAAACAATGAACTTCTATTTCACATAATTTGCTGAAGAGCATTTTCCTTCACTTTTTTGTACAAACACAAATTGGTAAAATTTCAAGGGGGAAATGCACTTGTGACCTTTTGACTTATATTTTATGAATATTATTTATCCATATAGATAACTGTCAGAACAAATTGTGTGAAGTACTTGAAGAACTTGTTTTATATTGACAGTAAGGAAAAATTTGGTGCAGGGATTGGATGGGTGGGTGCTGCTATAAAAAAGAAAAGGAAGAAAAACTGCATTTAAAGATTTTGTTAAAAAATATTTAGATTGTTTTGTAGACTTAAATTTCTGTTTTTATTATTGATATAGCTGGTGTGTATTAATACTGGCAATATAATCTTAAATTTTCCTGAAATTATGTGAGCAAGAAATCTGTAATTTCATTCATTTGATTTAAATAATAGACCTGCTAGATCATGTATCAGACATTGTGGTCAATGACATTATAATCATTAAAGCAAAGGTTGAAAACTAGTGATGTATATTTGCAATGTTTTAAATGAAAAAACAGTTGTGAAAATGAACAATAATCTTCATAAAACAACTATTACAAGAAATTAAAGATAAATAGAGAGAAGCATCTGACAATATGCCTGTGTCAGCACTCTGGCCCATTCGGAATGTGAACAGGTATTTTAACAAGTGTGTTAACAGATCTTTATGGAGAGGAATATATGGCAGGGATATATATCAAATAAAATTGTAGAATTTCAGCACTAAATTTTATTTAATAAAAGTTTCTATGGTTGTTGATTCATCTTGATCTTTAAAAAAAAAGTAAAGCTGTTAAAACTTTTAAATAATGCTTCCTTTGTTATTTTATTCGTTGAATCTTGTTTTATGAGATAAATTGTTGGGTTAAATCTACAAATGTGACTGGTACAGAATATATGCTATCTTATATATGAAATACACCATTAGACAAAATTTGATTTCAAGGTCAGTTTGGTATTCTGGTCACCAAAAAAATATTATTTAAATGTGAAATTAGTTGAAAATGTTTAAGGATTGTTCTAAAATTGATTATGGTAGGGGTGGGAGGCACTCAAATTACATAAATGTGTGTGATTTTATTAGTCCCCTACTGACGAAGTCAAAGGGGACTTAATTTTTGCACTCTGTCCGTCTGTCCATCCGTCAGTCCAGCAAATCAGTTTTCCACACTTTTTTCTTCGTGCTTGAAGATATTGGTTTGTTATTTGGTGTATTGTTTTATCATGACAAGTTACAGATCAAGTCTGAATTTTGTTCAGGTCTGACGATTTTTTGCAGAGTTATGGTCCTTGAACTTAGAAAATTCACTCAAATAATCAGTTTTCCGCACTTTTTATACGCCCGTTTACGGGACGTATTATGGTATACCGTTGACCGTCTGTCCGTCGTCAACATATCGGACATTAATTCAAAAACACTTTAACCAATATGCATGAAACTTTGGTGAATTTTTTATATCTTTCAACGTGAGCTCGCTTTTGTTTTTTATAAATTTCAGATTTACTATTTCCGAGTTTTGGGGTTTTATTCATTAAAAAAGGGGGGATTTTCCAGTTTTCGGACAATAACTCGAAAACAATTTCACCAATTTGCATTAAACTTTTGTGAATTGTTCATATCTATTGATGTGAGCTCCCTTTCGTTTTTTATAAGATTCGGATTTACTGTTTCCGAGTTTTGGGGTTTTATTCATTAAAATGGGGGGGATTTTCCAGTTTTTAGACAATGATTAAAAAAAAATTTCACCGATTTGCATGAAACTTTTGTGAATTGTTCATATCTATTGATGTGAGCTCCCTTTAGTTTTTTATAAATTTCGGATTTACTGTTTCCGAGTTTTGGGGTTTAATTCATTAAAAAAGGGGGATTTTCCAGTTTTCAGACAATAACTCAAAAACAATTTCACCAATTTGCAAAAAACTTTGGTGAATTGTTTATTTCTATCGCCATGAGCTCCCTTTTAATTTTTATAAATTTCAGACTATACGTTTCCGATTTATAGGGTTTTATTCATTACAAAAAGGGGGATTTTCCAGTTTTCGGACAATAACTCAAAAATGCTTTCAGCAATTTTTATGAAACTTTGGTAAATTGTTTATATTGATTTTTGTAAGCTCCCTTTTGATTTCTATAAATTTTCCATTTTACTCTTCCGAGTTATAAGATTTTATTTGTTTATAGTCTGACAACAGATTTACTAAGTATTGCGCAACAGCACAGTATATTGCACAACAAGAAATCTTTCATATAACCAATTTCAAGTTCTTTGACTACATTTATTCCGAAACCTATAATATATCAAATATTTAATTACAATCCAAATTCAGACCTGTATCAAGCTTGAATATTGTGTCCATTTTTGCCCCAACCGTTCAGGGTTGGACCTCTGCGGGTGTATCCAGCTGAGCTCAGCGAAGCAGTTTATTTTTGTCTTGCTTGAAGATATTGATTTGACAATTGGTATATAGTTTTATCATGACAAGTTACAGATCAAGTTTGAATTTTTGTCCAGTCTAATGATTTTGTGCCGAGTTATGGTCCTTGGACAGAAAATTCACTCAAATAATCAGTTTTCTTAATTTTTTTTGTCATGCTTGAAGATATTGATTTGATAATTGGTATATAGTTTTATCATGACAAGTTACAGATCAAATTCGAATTTTGTTCCAATACAATGAATTTTTAACCCGAAGGGGACTATGCATTGCCAGGCAATACTCACAGAATGCTTGTTTTCCTTGAAATAATGCAAGAGTTGTAAATAAAAAGAAATTTTACAGTATGGGTGGTTGGGGTTTAAAAAAAAGTGCCTCCCATGCCTTTAATTTTGGAATATTATACCTTTACAAAAATACTCAAGTATTATATAACCATTCATTTTCTGCAAATACAAAGTTTTGGAGGCACTAGTTTTATTCCCCCATAGAAAATAAAGAATATATTTAACTAAAAATTATTACAAAGTTCAAAGGAAAATGAAACCACCATACCCATATTTAAGTAATTTCATTGCTTCCCATCCTCAAAAATTGTCACCTAAGTACGGAAAATAGTATGTTTGGACTTTGTGAATCACTTGGTTGCAAATTAAGATCAAAAGTCTAAAGGCCTGCAGATAAGCACCTTGAATTTACAACAACAAAAAACAAGTTGACCAATCCGTGATCGATCTACTTAACCCTGAAAACAGAAACTTGAAATTAGTTGACCTGTCAGACAAGCATGGTAATCATTCTTTTAAATGTTCAAACTAAGAGATTATATTGAACTGAGATTGTATTCATAAGAGCTGAACATGAATAGTCGACTTTGTTGGTCATACCAATGTAAGTGATGTGCCAGTATGGCTATAAAACCTTAAAAGGGAATTTAAAGACCTGCACATTGTGTCTCCTGACAGCATCCAGTTAAGGCTTGCGAGATAGTGATCATATTTGTCTGTTGCTCCACATTTAAGATATGCAAGTAAAAAAAAGTTTCAAAAAATTTCACATGAAGTTGTGCACTTGCTAATTTTTGGTTTGAAGGATTTTAGGGTTTCCGATACTAAAACACAGACTTGTTCTGCTTCAAAATTAAAACAGGTGGTTAATCCACAACTCCTTGAAAACAGCTCCACACAATTCAACCTAATGGGCACAGATTTGATACAGGGCATAAAGTAATTCATCTATTTTATTAGATCATGATGCATAAAAAAACAACATTGCAGCAAATACACATAAAACACCAGCAATACAAAGCAGCATACAAAAGCTTCATATCTCATGGGGAAGAGATGACCATTGTCTTAACATAATACCAGTATTCTTTCTTAAAACAATTGAACTTTGCATGTACATACCAGGTAGTTAAAGTAATAATTTTGTCCCTTTAAAACAATTCAAAATATGCTCTTATTTTTTGGTGGTTGTTTACTCTGCAATTTTTTGTTATGTAAAATTTAGGTGGTTGTTTTTCTCGTGAATTGGATCTCATTTTGTCATGCTTGGATCTTCTTTAGCTTAACATACATGGTGTTTTCCTTATTGTACCGTGACTTCTGGTTTAATTTCATTGGGCGGCCTCGGTTGCCATGTGGTCTAGGTAGTCAAACTACTGTACCACTAGTCTGTCAACACTGAGGCGAGTTTGAACCCCGCATGTTGAATGTATGATCGACTACAATCTTAATTGACTTTCCGAAGGTCATTGGTTCTCATTGGGCCCCCAAAAGTGCAGAAAGCTGTGTTAAAACACAAAAGGTTAGTAATTGTACCACATCTTTTTATTAGCTCCCCAGGCCCAAAGGGCCATGTGAGCCTTTTTCATCACTTGGCGTCCATCGTCGTCTGTATTTTTTTTTACAAAAATCTTCTCTGAAACTACTGGGCCAAATTTAACCAAACTTGGCCACAATCATACCTGCCAACCAAGATGGCCGATATGGTTAAAAATAGAACATAGGGGTAAAATGAAAGTTTTGTCTAGTATTTTGAAAACCGTTATAAATAGAGAAAAATCTGACAAGGCAGATATGTTCAGAATGTTGAGTTCTACCAATTGTATATATACTTAAAAACTGTCGGACCACTCCTTTAGGCGTTATTGCCCTTAAATGACAAATTAACATTTTTTCTTTCTTTTTGCCTATCATCTTGAAAACTAGAACAGAAAGAGAGAAACTTTAAATTGTAAACATGATCAGCAAGACAAGTTCTACAAATAAGTGTAATGGTTTAAATCGTCAGTCGAATTCTTATTAGAGTTGTTGCCGTTTGAAGACGATTTTTACCATTTTTTTTCGTTTTTGCCTTGTATCTTAAAAATAATAATAGATAGAAACTTAAATTGGCAAGACAAGATCTACTCACAAGTCAAATTTTGCCGATATAGTTTGTAGACTGTGACTCTTTATAGGAGTGATTGTCCTTAATTGAAGATTTTTTCACCCTCTGCGTTAAAGCAAAAACTAAAGAAGATAGAAAGAAACTAAACAGGCTAAATGATCAGCAATACAAGATCAACAAAACAGATTTTTGTCATGAATTATATTCTCGTCTACAATATTGGAGAGTTATTTGTTGAATATGCATATAGTCCAAGATCTTTAGAGCCTCTAATTTTTATATCCAGTGCTATTTAAAAGAGCGTCACGTTTAAACTCCTTTCAAGTGTTTCAAACAATATTTCTACCCGTCAACCACTAATTCAAAGGACGATGATGAAATCATATTTAACGTACATTGACAAATATTACATGCAAATCCAGGTGAGAACATATGAACGTGAAAACTGCTTTGTATGCGAGACTGACACACTGAGCTGGATTTTTAACTTCCTAGTTCCCAAAGTAATTGATCACAGGAAGACCAGTCACCCTTTATAGATGCCTTATTCTGACTCAGAATGAGTGATTAGAGGAAAATGAGCAAATGTCAATTTTTAAGGCTAGTTTGAACCGGCCAGGAAAATAACCAATGACCTTCCTGCTAGAGATGGAACGAGACCACTGTGGCAGTTCTTACAAAAGAAAAATGCAGTCAAAATGTACATATTAAATGTTAGTACTTCTATGGTGTCAAGATGATGATTTAATCTGCAATTGTAAGCTAACCTCTTGTGTCAGTTGATTATTAAATCAATAGAACGTCATACAGAAACATATCCTTTACATCTTAATTACAATTGTATTGTACAAAGTCTACTGGCAGTAACAACATAGTTAAACGTTGAAAAATATGGCTATAGTTGCACAAGGAATTGTTATTTTGGTGATCTCTCCATAAATCAAGTCGTGTTCATTCTATACCGTGTTATAAAGGTTAAAGAGCTTTTCTTGAAGGATTCCAGTCTGAACCTTTTGGCTATTAATCGAAAGTGAAATGCGAATTGTATGTTCCCTGTTCATTCAAGTTTGAGTCTCGCTTGTTTGTCTAACTCATCTTTCCCTTCTAGTTACAATATTGCGTTCACTGCTGTGTCAATCTTGTATCCTTTAATATTTAAAACTCCTTAATGTTTCAAACTCTCAGTTATCTCGTGTTGGCGTTCTCGCCTAAAGTGCGGGAAGTCATGGTTTTGAACGCAAATTTGCAGACTTCAAAATTAGGGTACTTGCTGCTCCTAAGCACGCGTTCTTTGGTCTCAGATAGGAGTAAGAGCAAAGAACGGTCGGCCTCGAGTCTGAACAAAATATCCGGTTTGGGTGACATGCCTTCTTGTGAACTAACATTTTAAAAATCCGGTATACATATATTTCATAGACGGGAACCTCGTAGATGTCTTTTGTTACATCTTAGATTTTTTTAGTGGTTAATCTTTTTGTTTAACAAAACTTCTAGACCCAGAGGCGATTTTAAGTTGACATATAATATGAACATCTTTCTTCTTCGTCTTTTCATCATTTTGTTTCCTTTTTGTGGGAAAGAGGAGTTGGGGGGGGGGGGGGGGGGGGGGATGGGGGGTGTTATGATTGTTGATTTGTTTTGACAACAATCGCTTGAGAAATGGACCCCCCTTTTTGTAATTTTTTATTTGTGTGTTTTGTTGTTGTAAATATTCTGTAATAGTTGAACTTATTTTCACTTTTTAATGTGTTCTTGCTCTTTTCCGTATGATATTGCAATGACAGAAGTTTATAAATTTTGACCCTCCATAATAATAATAGAGGGTTAAAATTTATAAATTTACACTGAAGAAAAAAGGGGCTCCCCTCAAGCTTAGTCTATGGAATTTCATCACTCGAGCGCCTTTTAGTAAATTTTGTGCGACTAGTTTTATTTGCAGTGGCAAACTTAACTATACAAATTGAAAAAAGAAACAAATATAAAGGAAGAAAAACCCCAGTTAATATGAAAAATCTGGCCGACAGAGGGGGCTGGATTATTAGAGGTACCCACAAGGGGTACGGTCATTGTTTCGCATAATTTATCTGCGTTTCCTCTCCATCGAAACAAACGACATGTTGTTCCATTTTATAAAACTTAGAAAGTAAGTTAATTGTTGCTTTTAAGTTCAAACATGTGACGCGATACATGTGATTATAAAAAAAATGACCTCATTTTCAATTATAATTTATTTACAACTGGTTGTGCAATACGTACTATATATATTAATACAACTTTGATATTGACGCCATATTACTGATTTCCAATATCTATAGTGCGAACACTTTGCGGAATTCCGAGGAAAAACAGGAAAAGGACTAACAATGAAAAACAAAAACAAAGGATCAAGGTAGGAAGGGTATCAAAAAATGCAGAGTGAACATTTTCTATACCGGGAAGGAACGGATGCATATATTTCTAAACATTTTAAGAATTTAATGAAAAATTGCATTACGAAAAGTTTCCGATAATTTGTTTTTATCTTTTTCATAACATAATATATACTTTATGTACCACCCTGATACATTTTCGAATTGAGAATTGCAAAGAAAAAAGGGGGGGGGAATGTGGATATAAAAATTTTGCAAATCTTTTCGAAAATATAAAATGATTAACTAAAAAACTATATTTTGTATGTATAAAATAACTAAATTCAATCCATTGTATTTTGGCACAGTTCTTGATTATCCACTGATTGCACAACATACATACTGGCGCTCGTTGGAGATAAATCGATAACTGCATGGTGATTTAAATATTTACATATTTTCATGTACACAAAATAATCGTTATTATTAATTATTCAGTCTAGTAAGGACATTATATATACTTTATGGCATACCCCCAAAATGTTTGAATCGAATAATATTTATAGAAATAATGGCAAATAAGAATAGAGAAAATGGGGTTCCATGCCCCAACCGCACATGACTCAACGAAGTATTCCGTATCGCAATGTTAGAAATATCTATCTATTTATAAAATTGTTTTTAAAATATGTAGTTTCTTCATAGATTTATTTTAGAATATCCGACCAAAACACATCACAGTTGTAAGGTCTTGTTTTTAATAAAGAATAGCAATCTAATTAAAATTCAAATCTATATTAACTCGCGTGCTTGTACATAAGAATAAGAATTTTTATTATTCGTATCAAGAACCCATAAAGGGTATATAAGTATAAGTATAACGAAGTTAGAGAACTATATTTTAATTAGATTTTGATAGAAAAGAGAATGGAAACGGGAGAGACAACATCCCGACCAAAGAGAAAAAATAGCACAAAACATAGAAATATCTGTTTTCTTGCATTCCACAAGTTGGTTTTAATGTTCATCTTCCACAAAGTTTTACTTAAAAAATATATTTGTAGATTATACAGTAAAGAATAAAAGCCTTTATATGCTATAGCTTTATAATAAAAGTCTAAGTTCACCAACAAAGGGATATTTTTGTAAACCGGTTATGAATAGTAAGTTGTGGTTTGTCACAACATCATATGTGGTGATATAAGCTTTTGAAGAACAGTTTGGGGGAGGGACGAGAAAGCTTAGGGTCAAAAGGATATTTATTTGTAAAATACCTCCAGGTTTTTATACGCCCGTTTACGGGACGTATTATGGTATACCGTTGTCCGTCTGTCCGTCCGTCCGTCTGTTCGTCCGTCTGTCCGTCGTCAACATGTCGGACATTAACTCAAAAATGCGTTAACCAATTTGCATAAAACTTTGGTGAATTGTTTATATCTATTGACGTGAGCTCCCTTTCGTTTTTTTATAAAATTTAGATTTTACGTTTCCGAGTTATGGGGTTTTATTAATTAAAAAAAGGGGGATTTTCCAGTTTTCGGACAATAAGTCAAGAATGCTTTCACCAACTTGCAAGAAATTGTGGTGAATTGTTTATATCTATTGACATGAGCTCCCTTTCGATTTTTATAAATTTTAGGTTTCCGAGTCACAGAGTTTTATTCATAAAAAAGGGGGGATTTTCCAGTTTTCGGACAAAAACTCAAAAATGCTTACAGCAATTCTCATGAAACTTTTGTGAATTGTTTGTATGTATTGATGTAAGCTCCCTTTAGAATTTTATAAATTTTACATTTTACATTTCTGAGTTATGGGGTTTTATTCATTAAAAAAAGGGGTGATTTTCCAGTTTTCGGACAATAACTCAAAAATGCTGTCACCAATTCTCATGACACTTTGGTGAATTATTTATATCTATTAATGTAAGCTCCCTTTTTATTTTCATAAATTTCTAACATGACATTGAGAATTAATTGAACTTTATTTGTTTATAGTCTGACAACAGATTTACTAAGTATTGCACAACAGCAAGAAATCTCTAATTGAATATAAATTCAATTCATATAACCAATTTCAAGTTCTTTGACTACATTTATTCAGAAACCTATAATATGTCAAATATTTAATTACAATCCAAATTCAGACCTGAATCACGCTTGAATATTGTGTCCATTTTTGCCCCAACTGTTCAGGGTTGGACCTCTGCGGGCGTATCTAGCTGCGCTCAGTGAAGCAGTTTATTTTGTCCAAGCTTTCAAAATTGCTAATGAAAACGGAGGACGGAAATTCTCAAATCATTATTTGCCGCTTAAGTACATCTGCCACGCCTTGAAGTTTGAGTTCTCTGATTTCAGTGCTCGCAAGGAAGCAGCAGTCATTATTATCAATGATGAGGAGGAATTTGAACATGGAGATGCTGGAGCATCTAGTACTTACCCAGAACAATGTTCCAGTCTGAGGAAGGGAGGCCATGTTCTACTGAAAAATCGTCCTTGTAAAATAGTAGAGATGTCCACATCTGCCCCAGGAAAGCATGGACACGCAAAGGTAAGTTCATACTTCCCTCCACAAATACCGGAACATTTTTTCTCTAAGAGAAATATGCACGTGTACGATAGAACGTCCTTATATGAACAAGCTGAATTAGGCTCGAATTTATACAAAAGGACTATCAAGCTAAGGGTAGCCAATAATGCCACAAAGAAGCAGATTTGAAATATATCTATATATATATATAATAAAGTACTTGGCACAGTAATAAATATTAAAAAATATGTTAGTTTCACTGTTAGAGCATTCGGTCGTTCGTTTCTTCAGACAGTAACTGAACGTTGTGATGCATACAGTTGATGTACATATATATAGAGGAGTGTCAATCCATAAATAAAAAAAAAAAGAGTATGTCTCATAAATAAATTCACATGTAGGGTTGCACAGGCAATTTCGGCTAATGTGTATTTCATTCAAATTATCAACTGAAAATCCGTATGTGTAGAACAATAAGTTCATTTTACTATATACAACTAAAATATGTACAGAACCACTTCCCTTCTTTTTACAGGTTACCTTTGTTACTTTTATAGTGGACTCTTCTCCATTTTTATACGCCCGTTTACGGGACGTATTATGGTATACCGTTGACCGTCTGTCCGTCCGTCTGTCCGTCCGTCCGTCGTCAACATGTTGGACATTAACTCAAAAAAGCTTTAACCAATATGCATGAAACTTTGGTGAATTGTTCATATCTACTGACGTGAGCTCCCTTTCGTTTTTTTTGTAAATTTCAGATTTACCGTTTCTGAGTTTTGGGGTTTTATTCATTAAAAAAGGGGGGATTTTCCAGTTTTCCGACAATAACTCAAGAATGCTTTCACCAACTTGCAAGAAATTTTGGTGAATTGTTTATGTCTATTGACATGAGCTCCCTTTCGATTTTTATAAATTTTAGATTTTACGTTTCCGAGTTACAGGGTTTTATTCATAAAAAAAGGGGGATTTTACAGTTTTCTGACAATAACTAAAAAATGCTTTCAGCAGTTCTCATGAAACTTTGGTGAATTGTTTATATCTGTTGATGTAAGCTCCCTTTAGAATTTTATAAATTTTAGATTTTACATTTTTGAGTTATGGGGTTTTATTCATTAAAAAATGGGGGATTTTCCAGATTTTGGACAATAACTCAAAAATGCTTTCAGCAGTTCTTATGAAACTTTGGTGAATTATTTATTGCTATTGATGTAATCTCCCTATTGATTTTCATAAATTTCAAATATGACATTGAGAAGAAATTGAAATTTATTTGATTATAGTCTGACAACAGATTTACTAAGTATTGCGCAATAGCACAGTGTATTGCACAACAGCAAGAAATCTTTAATTGAATATAAATTCAATTCATATAACCAATTTCAAGTTCTTTGACTACATTTGTTCAGAAACATATAATATGTCAATTATTTAAATTACAATCCAAATTCAGACCTGTATCAAGCTGGAATATTGTGTCCATTTTTGCCCCAACTGTTCAGGGTTGGACCTCTGCGGACGTATCCAGCTGCACTCAGCGAAGCAATTTATAATTTATGTTTACAGGTTCACCTCATTGGATTGGATCTGTTCACTGGAAAGAAGTACGAAGACATTTGTCCAGCACACCATAACATGGATGTCCCTAATGTCAAACGTCTGGAATATCAGGTGGGAACATGATTTTAAATATCTGGTATCATGGATAGTAGTAAGGAAATTTAACTTGCATTACAGTAACTTCGAGTAGTCTCAGATCGGTGCTTTGTGTCAATTGTCGTTTTGCTAGTTATTTTAATACGACCACAACATATTTGCTGTCGAATAATGGTATGACGTTGGGCCATAAAAAAGAATATGTTTGTTTGCCTTAACCCTACCTTCCAAGAAAATAGCTGCCTACTCAAAATCTTTTATTGTCCTGATGTGAAAAAGTTTTTATGCCCCCGCCGTAGCGGTGGGGGCATTAATTTTACCCTTGTCCGTCTCTACCCAAAATTGGTTTCCGTTCTCTAACTTGAGTTTGCCCCAACCAAATGTAATGAAACTTATACACAATATGCTTATTACCACAACACACAGATCAAGCCAAGTTGAATTTTGGTGGCGTCACTTTAACCGTACTAGAGTTATGTCCCTTTATAAATGGAAAAAATTGCAAAATTTTTAGTTTCCGTTCTCTAACTTAAGTTTGCCTCAACCAAATGTTATGAAACTTATACACAATGCTTATTACAACAAAACACAGATCAAGTTTGAATTTTTGTGGCGTCACTTTAACAGTTCTAGAGTTATGCCCCTTTATAAATGGAAAAATTGCAAAATTTTTATTTTCTTCTAAATATCAAGTAATTTTATAAAATCGGAGTTCAACCAAATGCATGAAATGTTATGAAACTTATACACAGATATACAGATTAAGTACGAAATTTGGTGGCGACACTTTTACCATTCTTGAGTTATGTCCCTTTATAAACATAAAAGTTGCTGAATTTTTCGTTTCCGTTGATAACTTTAGTTTGTCTCAAAAACTTATACACAACCGTTCTAGAGTTATGCGTGTTTACAAATAGAAAAATTGCTAAATTGTTAGTTTCTGTTCTCTACTTAAGTTAGCCCCAACCAAATGTTATGAGACTTACACACAATGGTAATTACCACAAAACTCAGATCAAGTTCAAATTTGGGTAGCATCACTTTTACCGTTCTTCAGTTATGTCCCTTTATAACTATATGATATGCAAGCGGGGGCATCATCTGTGTCCACATGTGGTCACTATCCACATTTATTTTGGGTTTGATTTCATCAAAATTGAATTGTTGGGCTTTTTTTATATGCTGAATCTAACCATGTATTTAGATTTTTGATATTGGAGAATAACGGACAAATGCCCAATTTCAAATTTTCAGTTCTTGGACCACATTCAATTCAGATTCAGAGCTGTATCAAGCTTGAATGTTGTGTCCAAACTTGCCCAAACTGTTCAGGTTTCGACCACTGCGGTGGTTTCAAGCTGCGCCCTGTGGAGCATTTTGTTGTCTTAGTTGTGAGTTCGACCTTAACATTAAATGGCCCACATTTAATGAAAAACATGTATAACGATTGCTTATGTTTTATAATTTTTAGATTGTTAGTATTAGCCGTGATGGGTATTTGACTATCATGGATGACAAAGGTCAACTTCGCAGTGACATCAAGGTCGAGGAGGATGACCTTGGAAAAGAGATTAAGGTCAAGTTTGAAAAAGAAGAAGACTTCATGGTACGTAATAGCACTTGTTTATATCTATATTTAAGTTATTTTTCGTTTTCGTGTGCAAAATGGTTTTCCCATAATTAGGTCTTAATAATACATGTCCTAAATTATACACCACTATTAATGTGGGGCTATATTACATTCACCTTGTCCATCCAGACGTTCGTCCGTCCACTTGTCTGGCAAATGTTTTCGTCACACTTTTCTCAGAAACCACGAAATAAAATGACTTCATATTTGATCAGCAGGTTAATAGTAATGAGATGTAACGTATGAGCACTTTTCGGATTTGTCAATTACCTACATCCTGTTTGCCGATACTTCGAATGTTGCAATATGTTGAATGATTTTGATTACAATTTTGTGTCCTATGGGGCAACTTAAATGATTTTGACAAAAAGACAAAAAGCGAGAACGACAGCTTATCAAAACCGCCGGAACATTGACTCAAAGATCAGCATGATTGAGATTTTTTAATTGTCATGATTGTTGAAGGTGATTATGTGATTACATTTCCTCAAAGTGAAAGATTATTTGATAACCAGGCATGAATGTTTAAGAATTTCTTAGAACAAAATACAAATGCAAAAAAAAATTGTTCCAGAAAAAGTAAAATATTTTTGTATTGTTATATTATATTATATAAATTCTGAATAATCATGTGACTGCTAAGGGAGCTACCATTTGATTTTTAGGGGGGGGGGGCTAGGATGGAATTTGAAAAAAAAGCAGGACAGGACTTTTGAGTAAAAAAAGGCAGGATGAGCAACTTGGCAAAAAAAAAAAAGGCAGGATGACAATTTATGTAAAAAAAGTCAGGAGAAACTAATACTAGTAATAAAAAGGCTGGACCGAATAGAGTAAAAAATAAAAAGGCAGGACAGAGATTACAACCAAAAAAAAGGCAGGACAAAATTTTTCATCCTAGACCCCCCATAAAGATCAAATGGTAGCTCCCTAAGATATCCAAATGGGAGTTCCTTTTAAATACCTGACCTGAGATGAGTACTGTAGATACCACATATTGTCTTTTTATTTTCAGGTCTCCGTCATCAGTGCTATGGACGAGGAGAAGGTCATAGCAATGAAGGCTATTAAACAACCTTGACTCTTTTTATCTGTTATATACTCATCACTAATTCAATCCTAATAGGATCATACAAATTCCTAATGAGGATCTCAACCCGGATCATATAAAGTTAAGCGAAAAATATTAGCTAAGCGGTGAAGATTTTACAATAAAGGAAACACGGTGTGGTAACAGCAAGTGAAGATAAAAAAAACAGGCTTTCAAGTTCTAAATATCTAATAACATAATTCTTTTCTTCTAATTAATAAAATTCTTAGACTCTTCCAGTTTTGTTACTTCTTAGCGTGTTTAACACAGCAAGTGATGGAAGATAGTTACGATGTTGGGCCTTACATGTAAGTCATTGTCATTACTATATATAGTACTTGTCATCTGTCAGTAATCATATATCTTTACTTCAAAGGCGACTAGGATGAATGGCACACATGTTGACCAAAATCATTTATTGGTTGTATGCTTAAAATAACCAACATGCCTACTTATACTATAAATAGAACATAATAAAGTAATATTTCTATTATATTAGTAAAACCGCATTTAATAACCATGTTTTCTGCAATGATTTTAACTTGATAATAGCGACTTGGTCGCATGTTTGTGCTCTTTCATGATGTCATTAGATTACCACAGTTATATTATAATGGTACGAAATACGAAGAATTTTCTTTCTTTTTTATACAATATACATTACGCTTTATTTTAAAACACTATGTCACATTCACATGTGCAACAAGAGGTAAACATATACAAAACACAATCACATACAATCATAGAAAGAAATAAAACAATTCTAAAATGGAATATATTAATAATTACTATACTTTATAATACTTTGATTAACTTTGAAACGAATAAAGATACATTTTTATACGACCGCAAACAAATTTTGCCGTCGTATATTGGTATGACGTTGGCGTCGTCGTCGTCGTCGTCGTCCGAAGACACATTGGTTTTCGCACTCTAACTTTAGCTTAAGTGAATGGATCTCTATGAAATTTTGCCATAAGGTTCAATACTACAAAAGGAAGGTTGGGATTGATTTTGGAGGTTATGGTACCAACAGTTAAGGAATTAGGCGCCTAAAAGGGGCCAAAAATAAGCATTAAGTATTAAGTATCAGTTTAATTGAAGTCTGGAGCTGGCATGTCAGTTAACTGCTAGTAGTCTGTTGTTATTTATGTATTATTGTCATTTTGTTTATTTTCTTTGGTTACATCTTCTGACATTAGACTCGGACTTCTCTTATGTGCGTATTGTTATGCGTTTACTTTTCTACATTGGCTAGAGGTATAGGGGGAGGGTTGAGATCTCATAAACATGTTTAACCCCGCCGCATTTTTGCGCCTGTCCCAAGTCAGGAGCCTCTAGCCTGTTAGTCTTGTATTATTTTTAATTTTAGTTTCTTGTGTACAATTTGGAGTTTAGTATGGCGTTCATTATCACTGAACTAGTATATATTTGTTTAGGGGCCAGCTGAAGGACGCCTCCGGGTGCGGGAATTTCTCGCTGCATTGAAGACCTGTTGGTGACCTTCTGCTGTTGTCTGTTCTATGGTCGGGTTGTTGTCTCTTTGACACATTCCCCATTTCCATTCTCAATTTTATTTTTGTAACGTCCAGACATAACTTGTGTGTTAGTGTATGGATCTCTCTGACATTGTACCACAAGGTTCCATATCACAAAGGGAATGCTGGGATTGATTTTGGGGGTAATTGCCTCAAAATTTTAGGAATTAGGGGCAAAAAAAGGGGCAAAAAAACGCATTTTTCTAGTTTCATGATAATAACTTGTGTGTAAGTGTATGGATCTTTCTGAAATTGTACTACAAGGTTCCATATCACAAAGGGAAAGTTGGGTTTGAGTTTGGGGATAATTGCCCTAAACGTTTAGGAATTTGGGGCCAAAAAGGGGCCTAAAAACAAACATTTTTTCTAGTTTCCAGACAATAACTTGTGTTCAAGTGTATGGATCTCTCTGAATTTGTACTGCAAGGTACCATACCACAAAGGGAAGGCTGGGATTGAGTTTGGGGGTAATTGCCTCAAAATTTTAGGAATTAGGGGCCAAAAAGGGGGAAAAAACAAGCATTTTTCTAGTTTCAGGACAATAACTTGTGTGTAAGTGTATGGATCTTTATGAAATTGTACTACAAGGTTCAATATCACAAAAGGAAAGCTGGGTTTGAGTTTTGGGGTAATTGCTTTAAACGTTTAGGAATTTGGGGCCAAAAAGGGGGAAAAAACAAGCATTTTTCTAGTTTCAGGACAATAACGTGTGTGCATGGGGTGAAGACGGAGCAGCTGCTGTGTCACCTGACCGGAAACTAATTTCTGTTCCATGTTTCCCGCCAACAGAGGTAGTAGACACTCTAGGAGCAGGCGATACTTTTAATGCAGCAGTAATCTGGTATTTATCCAGAGGAAAGACTTTAGAAGAAGCTGTAACATACGGGTGTAAAGTAGCTGGAGCTAAATGTGGAATGCAAGGGGTTGATGGATTAACAATATTCAGAGAGCATTGAAACAACTGTAAATAATTATTTATATGAGTGGTCATGACATCATGACTGCACCTATGTAAAATTGAGATGGTGATATATCCGATTGACTTTTGGTGGTTATTTACTCTCAGTTGACTGTAACTGGTATTCTTTTGATTTTCTTTCATGGATCATCGATCCTTGCATTGCTACACACACATGCATAAATTTACAAGGAGTGCTTTTAATGAGCCGCAACTCTATTAAAATGATATGAAGTTATTTGTATGTCTTTTGTTTATTACAATATGTACCTCATAACATCTCATAATGTTGTATGAACAATATTTGTTTTGTAGTTTTTGCTTCGCATCACGGTGTGTAACTTTGAGTTTTAGTTTCAGTCATTACACACGCCATTTGACTGACGATTTCGGCCATGTTGACTTCTTTGTAGATCTTGTCTTGCTTATCATTTTTGTCGAGCCTGCGACTTTTGTCGCAAAAGCGAGACATAGCGATCCTACATTCCGTCGTCGTCGTCGGCGGCGGCGGCGTCCACAAATATTCACTCTGTGGTTAAAGTTTTTCAAATTTTAATAACTTTCTTAAACTATCCTGGATTTCTACCAAACTTGGACAGAAGCTTGTTTATGATCATAAGATAGTATCCAGAAGTAAATTTTGTAAAAAAAAATCATGTTTATCCGTGTTTTACTCATAAATGGACTTAGTTTTTCTGCCAGTTAACATTACATTCACTCTGTGGTTAAAGTTTTTCAAATTTTAATAACTTTCTTAAACTATCCTGGATTTGTACCATACTTGGACAGAAGCTTGTTTATGATTATAAGATAGTATTCAAAAGTAAATTTTGTTAAACAAAAATCCTGTTTATCCGTATTTTACCTATAAATGGACTTAGTTTTTCTGTCAGGTAACATTACATTCACTCTGTGGTTAAAGTTTTTTTCAAATTTTAATAACTTTCTTAAACTATCCTGGATTTGTACCATACTTGGACAGAAGCTTGTTTATGATTATAAGATAGTATTCAAAAGTAAATTTTGTTAAACAAAAATCCTGTTTATCCGTATTTTACTTATAAATGGACTTAGTTTTTCTGCCAGTTAACATTACATTCACTCTGTGGTTAAAGTTTTTCAAATTTTAATAACTTTCTTAAACTATCCTGGATTTGTACCATACTTAGACAGAAGCTTGTTTATGATTATAAGATAGTATTCAAAAGTAAATTTTGTTAAACAAAAATCCTGTTTATCCGTATTTTACCTATAAATGGACTTAGTTTTTCTGTCAGGTAACATTACATTCACTCTGTGGTTAAAGTTTTTTCAAATTTTAATAACTTTCTTAAACTATCCTGGATTTGTACCATACTTGGACAGAAGCTTGTTTATGATTATAAGATAGTATTCAAAAGTAAATTTTGTTAAACAAAAATCCTGTTTATCCGTATTTTACTTATAAATGGACTTAGTTTTTCTGTCAGGTAACATTACATTCACTCTGTGGTTAAAGTTTTTTCAAATTTTAATAACTTTCTTAAACTATCCTGGATTTGTACCATACTTGGACAGAAGCTTGTTTATGATCATGAGATAGTATTCAAAAGTAAATTTTGTTAAACAAAAATCCTGTTTATCCGTATTTTACTTATAAATGGACTTAGTTTTTCTGCCAGGTAACATTACATTCACTCTGTGGTTAAAGTTTTTTTCAAATTTTAATAACTTTCTTAAACTATCCTGGATTTGTACCATGCTTGGACAGGAGCTTGCTTATGATCATAAGATAGTATTCAAAAGTAAATTTTGTTAAAAAAAATCCTGTTTATCCGTATTTTACTTATAAATGGACTTAGTTTTTCTGCCAGTTAACATTACATTCACTCTGTGGTTAAAGTTTTCAAAATTTTAATAACTTTCTTAAACTATCCTGGATTTGTACCAAACTTGGACAGAATAAAATTGAGAATGGAAATGGGGAATGTGTCAAAGAGACAACAGCCCGACCATAGAGCAGACAACAGCCGAAGGCCACCAATGGGTCTTCAATGCAGCGAGAAACTCCCGCACCCGAAGACGTCCCTCAACTGGCCCCTAAACAAATATGTATACTAGTTCAGTGATAATGGACGTCATACTAAACTCCAAATTATACACAGGAAACTAAAATTAAAAATGATACAAGACTAACAAAGGCCAGAGGCTCCCGACATGGGACAGGCGCAAAAATGCGGCGGGGTTAAACATGTTTTTTGAGATCTCAACCCTCCCCCTATACCTCTAGCCAAAGTAGAAAAAACAAACGCACAACAGTACGTACAGTGAAACTAGAAGCTTGTTTATGATCAAAAGCTAGTATCTAGAATGAAATATTGTAAAAAAAAATCCTGTTTTTCCGTATATTACTTATAAATGGACTTAGTTTTTCTTCCAGTTAACATTACATACAGTCTGCAGTTAAAGTTTTTAAAACATTAATTAGATTCATAAACCATCCTGGATTCCATCTTCGCTAGCCAAGGGTTACGATCCACTCCCTTCCTCTCCAGAGATAAGGGAAGTGGATCGTAACCCTTGGCTAGCGAAGATGCCTGGATTCTTACCAAACTTGAACAGAAGCTTCTTACATTCAAAAGATAGTATCTAGAGGAAAATTTTTAATAATTATTTCCCCATTTTTGTTGAGCCTGCGACTAACAGCAAGAGTAGGCGAGACACTGGGTTCTGCGGAACCCTTACGAATTTTTGCTATT